TGGCCTTGACAATGTGTACATGCTAAAGAACACAACAGTCTAACTTTTTCACAATCACATTTAGCGCTGCATCCCTTTTTACGGTTGCAAAAAATTGTGTTCAGCTGTTTTTCCGGCGCAGGTGGGAGTAAAGTCTGAATAGGTTCTAATGCATTGTCGACCAACTTCCAACCCCAGTCTTTTGGGTCGAGCTGATAACCAAGCCACACTTGAACTGATATATCTGGAAAAGATGTTGATGAGCAGCAACTAAGGTTGGAGAAAGACAAGCTAATTGCACCTGTTTCTTATTTTTAGTGTTTTTTACGAAACATGCATATCGATACTCATCTAAGCAGGTGGTATTTTTCGGAGCTTTGTACGTGAAAGAAGAAACCGAATTCCGTTGGTGATAATTTCTTGTTGACTCGAATTACTTTTTTGAAAACTTCGGTACATTGAACTAAATCTTGTTTTCAAACATTTTGAAGACTGTTGCTTTACCCCTTCTGTAAAATGCAGACGTCGTATCACAGCAAGTCATGGCGTGTAAAAATAGTACATGATTTTGACTCTTTGCAAAAGTAGATAAACTTTTTGACGGATATATTTCGGTTTGACTTTGAGCTTTTCCTGGCTTTAGAAAAAAAATAGTTTTTTCAGGTGGAGTTCGAGCAGTAAGAAGTACGAGTAAGTCTACATCTTCACCAACAATAATAGTTGTATTTGTCAAATTAAATGGCTCTGTAGCTGTTTCAATAATCAGTACGTCGGCATCGTTATTAACCTGTTTAACCAATATATAACTTATCCTTCAACATTGAAATGAACCGAGATTTGTTGCGAGTATTTGCAAGAAGTTTCTGTTGACTGATAGGAAGTGTCATAAGTCCATAAAATAGAATATCAGAAGATGAAGATGTTTCTAAAATTCGACGACGTTGTTCTGCAGCTTTAATAACGATATAAAAATATTTTTACTTGAATTACAACTTCAGAGATGTATATACGTGGCATACTTATGCATATAATGACGATTACAACTTTTATAACTTTTTGACCCGTCGTATCCCAGAAACGGTACATTGATACATTTTTTGTAGAGAATTTTATGATCTAAAATTTTTATCTGAGGTTATTTTATGATAAAACTTACCGTTTTCCTGAAAATCGCGAAAAACCAATTTTTTTTTTCGAGATTTTTGACCTTTGACCTCGAATAACTTTTTTTCCAGGCATCGCAATCATTCGGAATTTTAAAATCTTATTTTCAACTATGTTTCGAACAATTACACGCATTTGCAGCTTGTTGTAAATTTATGTACGTTCACTCTTATTTTTAAGTCTAATTTTACCGGACTTGACGTTTATCTCCTAGCAAATTTAAGGTATCACCAAAATAGTTACGGTTTTTCTCTTAGTGTTCACTCAAAGTGACCGTCAATCATTACCAATTTTGACCGTTCTATCCCGAATGTGTTTGAAGAAAAATACTTTGTTCTACCCGGAGAAGAAGAGTTTTGTGTAGCTTTCTTGGCTGACGAGTCATCTATCAATCTCCACGGTCGCCACACAAATCATTATTTTTCTCCTAATAAAAGAAAATATATTATCATTGGACTTCTCTCTTCTAGCCACAGTTAGTTTCTTGAAAAAAAAGTGATTTTTGCACATTACACTCTGATGTGGCGAGATAAAAATTTTCACATTTTGCAGAGTTGAATAAATTGATGGAAAAGTCTCCAGAAACTGTATTATAAAAATCTAATAAAAGTATGAATCAACCAATCAGTTCTAGTTCATAGTCAGAAATTAACAAAATCTCTGCATTGAATAATATCCATATTTTTGGTATTTGATGCAATGAATACTTGACTTTTCACATAATTATCATCTGAAAATGAAATTTTTAACGGGTGATGATCGACTGTATTGCCAAACATGCGCCAAACTAACCGACTGTTATAAGGAAACAAGTATAGCTGAGGCACCAGTCAGTCTAATAATAACATTAATGATCTTCAAACAAGACTCAATCTCTGACGGAAGCAAGAAACTCTTTGGAAGGTTCGAAATAGATGAACATTTCAATCTAGCAGACTACTATCATAATATTCATGCAGTCATTGTTCACTATGGTTCTGGCGTTGATTTTGGTCATTATTGCGCCTTGGTCAAAGACGAAACGGACTGGTTTAGGTTTGACGATAGTCGTGTCACGAAGTGTTCTGGCGATGCATTGAATCTATTGGAGCCTCTGGAGATACCCTACATTTTGTTTTATACGAGAGAAGACACTGGTAGATAATGATCTTCAGATGATGTGGTGATGCAGGTTTTTCCGGGTTTTCCTGCAGCTGAAAAAGCAAATGCGCCTCTGGAATCAATGAAGTCGTCCCGGAGCGCCAAATAATTTTTATTGTTGTTTTTATATTAAATTGATTTGAAGTCGCATTTTTACTTTTACTGTTTAATAGAGGGTTTTAATTGTTTGTAAACCAAATTTTAAACGTTGCCTTCTACGAATTCATAAAACGTTTTCAAGCTTTCTTTCTGAATAAGAGATATAAAACAAATAATAAAAAAAGGTATTTTTGAACCTTTCACCGTGAGGACAGTTTTCCAAAGTGTGAATAAATGTTAATATGTGTGTGATAGAAAATTTGTTGAATGTTTTTTGGGTTTATAACCCTGCACACTTTGAAAAGTGAACAGAACTGAATCAATGGAAATTCTGTAGATATGTCGTGTTTGTAAATACGAACTCAACGAGTTTTCTTTTTTGGATAAAGTGATATATCATACAAAATATAGGATAAAGAAAATAGCTTTGATGAGATTGACTCACTCCGGGAATGAATAAAACGTAATGCTTATTCAATGTGTTCGAAAGTTTTTTAAACAAAATTTTCTCTGATTTTATGGTCTCTGGAACAGTTTCGACCCTTTCAGTAACTTCTTCCGATAAAATTGATGTATAGGATCAGTAGGATCACACATTTTTTTCTGGGCTTATTAAATATACAAATAAGATTGTAGGTAATCTTTTACAAACTGGGTTCCTTCTAGGTGCAATTCCCCATATTATATTTATCAAGTGATATCAAAAACTACACCTCACGATTTGATCGAATCGTTAGGTGTAGTTTTTGAAATTACTATGGATATTCATCAAGTAACAGCCGAATCAATCAGAAAATTTATCAAGTGAGTTGATTTCTTTTATGTTTGATGTAAAATTGTACATTCTAATTTTTTTCTCAGTCATGAACCTAACCATTTCTTACAAGTTCAGTAGTCAGAAAGTACACTGCTTGATGAGAAGTCACTAAAATAACAAAAACAACAAGTGACAGATATAAGTATTTCTAACTTTTGTAAGGCCTACATATTAACAATACCATCACTCCAAGATTATACTTGCTCCGTTCGACTGTATATTTTTTTACATTTATTTAATGTCGCATCAACCTCAAGGGTTATTAGCGACAATTCAAATTTCATAAGAGTATTGATTTCTTACAATAAATGTCATATACGGTGCAGCAGCTTTATAAGTCTTAGAAAGGCAATTAGTTTTTCATAGTTACAATTTTGTCCTAACGCTGCTTCAATTGAAGAGGGGATGTCGTACTCGATTCTCTCGTTGTAGTAAGATGCACACTCAGATAAAATATGTTTGACACTTATGGTACAGTCACAAACTTCACATGTTGGAGGGTTATTACCGTTGAGGATGTATTCATGAGTGAGGCGAGTATACCCTAGTCGAAGACGTGACAGGATAACTTGCAATTTTCTCGTTTTTGGAAGTGAGTTCCAGAGTAAGACCGATGGTTTGATTGCTAATAACTTAGAGTTGGAGCCATTCCATTGCTGTTGCCATACATTAGTAAGGATTTGTTTGTAAAACGATTTCGGGTCAGGGTGGGCTATTCTTTTTTCAATATCTGTGAGTGGGTTAGTAATAGCATCCTTTGTCAGCTAGTCGGCCCTTTCGTTGCCTGCTATACCACCATGTGATGGAACACACATAAAGTTTATATGTTTATTTTTTTTAATGATTGAGTGGAGCTTATGTTTGATGTGAAGTATGATGGGGTGTTCTGGGTTTAGCTTCGTTATTGCCTCCAGTGGACTCAATGAGTCGGTAATTACCAAGAATTTTGAATGATCGCTTTACTCTGCAAATTCAAGTGCTTTGCATATGGCATCAAGTTCTCCTGAGAACACAGTGATTTCTGCTGGTAGTTTCAAAGAGTGATTGCAGGCAGTACTGGTGAATGTTGCCCCCTCCTCCTCCTCTTCCTGATTTGGATGCGTCGGTGTATATTTGGATACAGTCTTCGAATTGTTGCAATAGTTGTGTGAATTAGACTATGGTTGGTGTAATTTTTCTCCAATTGAACGAGCCGTTTTTCAATTTTAATGCTTGGAAAGGTCCATGGAGGGGGATTAGGAATGTTTGAGGTGTTGAAAATTTCAGGTCGATTGAGGAGTGAGTTGGAAAGGAATCGATTAAGTCCCTCGTAGAATGGAATAACCACTCTCTTTTTTGCAAATGTATTTCTGAACCTTTGGGCTATAACATTATTGAAAAGAGGATTATCTGGGTTAAACTTAACTGCAGCAGCATATATGAGGCTGAGCTGTTTTTTTATTGATTTTCAACTTATCGAAGACTATTTTCTGAAATCATAGACTTCATCACTGATTATTTCTATGTGATAAACCGGTGATTATATGATATACTGATAGAACTGACTGAGAAACTTGGGATACGGAACATCTGAATGAACATTTGGTACTTCCAAATCAAAGAAAACTCTGTTTGAATGAAAAAAAAATCGAAAATATTTCTTGAAATTTGTTTCGTTAATATTTCATTAGTGGACAGAGCTACGATTATTGCAAATTTTTCTTCATTCAACTGATTTTTGTCTATCATAGTTCAAAAATTATCTTTACTTCCGAATGACCGATTTGAATGATAAAACTCGCTTTTTTAAATTTTCATTTATTTAGTCTGTAAGTGAACAAAATTCTTATTGAAATTCACAAATTTCACCACCAAATCAATAGTTCGGTTGTGAAGAACATCTACTATTTTTTCTTTAAAAAAAGTCAGACTGCATCGTAAAAAAATTGCATGAATCGACTCATTCACACTACTAATATTTGATTGAATCTGTATTATCAATGTAATAAAATTCCAAAATGATTTTACTTTTGTTTGGAGTATTATAATAATATTACGCGTTTTCAATTCAATTAATCGATCAATCAATTCATTTAACAACTGATTGTGAAATATAATTCGTTTATATCATTACTAGCTTTTAGTCGCGGCTTCGCTCGCATTTATGCCATTAAATAAGTGTCAGTATAAAATAAAATAATCAATATGAGATGTTAAAATATATTTCACTGTAACAAAAATAACCTAACCTAAAAATAAAAATGACAGAAGAAAATAACAATAAATATAGAAACATTGCAAACAACCGAAACAATTTTTTTATCTTACATCTTACATTTTTTATTAAAAAGTATGTTATGTTACTTCTAGGACCTCCAAGAACATGTGTACAAAATTTCATGATGATGGGTTGAGTAGTTTTCGCGTGAAACCGTAACAAAGAAACTTACATTCGCATTTATAAGGGTAAATGTGGGATAGATGCCCAACCTCTACAAATGTGCTTGTTGAGCAAAATAGATAACTATTTAAAAATATAGTACTATTGTTATGGTTAGTGTATTTATAGATAAAGGAAATAAATGAGATTTATTTTATTTTATTTCTACTTTATTTTGATAGATGCCTAATGTGTGGGTTAGATGCCGCAACGAGAATATGGCCTGGGGGATAGTTGCCCTAAGGAAGTAATGAAAGTATAATTTATTTTTTGAAACTTTAATCGATTTCAATCAAATGGCACAATCATCTTTGGTAATTACTGAATTAAAATGGTGTTCTTTAAGTATAATAATTCTACATTTTCTTAATTTTAATCAGAGGTACAATCGTTTTAGGTATTAAAACTTTAAAAATATTATTTTTTTATCTTTGAGCGTGTTGAATGTTTTCCTCAGCACTTCGAACTACTGAAAACACTTATTGTTTAATAATTTTTTTTTCATGTTGCAATTTCAAACGCTGGCATTGATTACAATAATCTCCGTACATGGTGCAGGTTTCGTGCAACCACTTTTGACACATGACACACTGTATCCAGTCTACCTTTGACTTTGTCTTCTCAAAATCTTCAAAACACTCCACACATTCATTTGACGCATCCGAAGAAGAATCTGATGCAAGACTGCTTGTGTTGAAATCTTTATAAATTTGTTTTTGAACTTTGCTAACAGGACGCAGAATTCTGCTACTCCTCTTAGTCTGATCTCTTTCTTCATTTCTATTTATTTCAAACGTATTCCAAAAACACTTTATTGTGAGATTTTCACTAAATTGGCTCTTTGGTCAACATTAGGCTCATTTTCTTTGACTGAATCATCCAAACTTCTGTAAATATCATCTGAAGCTGCTTTATCCCTTTTTTCCATAACTTGCCTAGTTTTTTGCTACTTTTGCATGGTATGTTTGGAGTAGCTTTTCCTTTAGTTTTTTTGTTGATAGGATCAGTTTCTTTTTTTTCTATCGAATCATCCAAAGCACAGGTCAAACTGCCCTCTGTGTCCTCTGAATCTGTTCTAGTCCTCTTTATTGACAATTTTTCAGGTGGTTTGATGATTTTGCGTGAGATATTATGAAAAGCTTGAATTTTACTTTTTTTGGAAATAATATTCTCCTTGGTAGTCAATACTGCAGCTGTTTGCTTTCCTCTTTTGTGTAAAGGTACCGGAATTATAGGTACGGGAGAAAATTCTTGTAAAAACTTGCTTGGCGTCTCCATATGTAACTCTGCGCTAGACATTTGATCAAGCAAAGATGGCGAATTGGTAGGATCTTGATTCTCTGTCAGGCTAACAGTAGTCTCATTATTTATAACTTGATCTGGTGGCGTAGAACTTCGCATTTGAGACAATGTTGGGCTCATACGAATTTCTTCATCCAAACATGCCGAAGGCTGATTATTACATGAGAGAACAGCAAAGGCTCATTAGTACGTGAGGGAGCAGGCAAAGCTTGATTACTATATAAGGGACCAGGCAATTGTAATATGTCACGCCCAACAGTGCAATCATTTTCGTGATCATTATGGGCTTGGCAATTTGAAGAGAAATCAGAGATCGCAAAGAAGCTGTCTGGAACAGTCGAAGGATTAAATATATAAATTCCGCAAGCTCTAAACCCCGAAACAGCATTAGAAGGTGTTGCCGCTCGTATCCATGCATTACTAATCAGTTTACCAGCAACTGCACGGTTTATTTTTCTGTCTTTATTTGCAAGCATCCAGTTTCGAGTCTCTGCTGCGAAAAATGTTTTGAAGGGTTTGGAAAAGCTGCGGTCCAAAGGCTGTAAGGCTTGTGTACTGTGACTTGGCAAACAAAAAAGAATTATATCATTCCTGTCTGCAGTCTCTAACATATCTGCAGAATTTGTGTGAGAAGAATGTCCATCTAGAAGCAAAAGGACTTTACCTTGAGGCTTTCGAGGAACAAAGTGATGCATCAGCCATTTCTGGAATAACTCCGCGTTAACATAAGCATACTTTTTGTTCATGTAAACATCTGATCCAGGAGGAAGTCCATCTTGGAATTCTGGCTTTCTAATTACTCCTTTTATAATAACAACCGGAGAAAGGAAATTTCCAGCGGCATTACAACAAGCTATTACCGACATCGTCTCACCCTTTTCTCCAGACGTTACAGAGTGAACTGATTTTGCACCTTTTGTAGCAATGACTTTTCCAGGGTTATTATTTAACTGGACACCAGTCTCGTCTATATTGAATATACGTTCTGGTTTATCCAACAAATCATGTTCTGTCAAAATATGGAGCAGAAGCTCAAACATCTTGTTTATTTCTTCACGATTGAGTCCCTGAGCTCGAACAAGGGATAAGCCTTCAGCTTGTCGAACGCTTAGTTCTGTGTGCCGTTCCATAAAAGAGCGTAGCCAATGATGTCCAGCTCTGCGACTTTCTTGGTCAAAATGATGTTTAACGCCAAGTTTTTCAGCAAATTCAAAAGCTAGTCTACGTAACATATCACGTGTTACTGGAAACCCCGCTGCCTCTAACTTTCGAATGTGAGTGACGAGCCGCTTTTCATTGTCGAAGTCCAAAATTGGGTGTTTCCCTAAAAATAAAAAGAAATGTCAAGGAAAAATAAGGTAATGAAATGCATGATTCGCGTTAATTCCCGTTACATACTATATGTTAAATATAACCTTAAAAATAACATTAGTACCTAATGTTATTTTTTGCGTATCTTGTTTTTCAAATCGTCTTCTTAAAGTTCTGGAAGGAATCCCATAACGCCGAGATATTTCATTCACAGAGCATTGCTTTTGGCTCATCTCTTCAAAGGCAGCTTTAAGAGCATCTTCAGTCCATACGGCTCGGGGCTGTGTACCTGTTTTGCGTACGTACTTGCGTGGCATGGCTTTAAAAAAAAAGAAAATAAATAAATACTTAAAAAAATTTAATGGGATAGATGCCTCACAAATAGTGAGGCATCTATCCTTTGTCTTAGGGATAGATGCCTTCAGGCTTACCAAATAAAACATATCAAAACATAACTAAATTATATTAAAATTGATATATTTGATATATCCACAGACCACAAATACTAAAATATTATCACTTACCGGGCACGTAAAGGTTATACGTAACATAAATTCGTCAATTTGTCGCCTTCGACAAAGTGTTTCGCGCCAAAACTCTCGATACGTGCATCCAAGTGAAACGCTTGGCGTCGACTAGTGGGAGGAAGGGGGTACGCTTGTATTTAAACAAAATACTTTGAATATCCTACTCGCAGAAGTCGCTACGCCTCTACTTAGACATCTATCCCACTAGGGCATCTATCCCACATTTACCCAATATTATAGGGATTCGCTCTGTGGAATGAGGAAAGATATGCTGAAAAATTCAAAAACCATTTCTTAAAATATGTTTATGCGCCAGTGTGTTTGTAAGAAGAAGAAGCAGATTCCAAATTGGACGGTGAAATGAAACGATTGTCTGTTTCCTTTTTTCCGTGGCATCCTATTGGTTGGCAGACAAAAGGAATGATCTTGGAATGTTTGATGCTGTCACTGTGAATAAAGTTCAATCATGATAACATACATCAAAACTGAACATTTTACTGATTCTAACATTTTTTGAAAGCCACCGTGTATTGCAAAGGTGTATTTTGAAGACTAGAAATTTCAGGTATAACATTTCTTTTGATAATTTCAATATCAAATGCTCTAATGAGATTTTTAACTCAATATCTACCCTATCATCATGGGTCATTATTTTTAGAATTAATGACCCTTTCAGGTCTTTCTACGCACGTAGAAAATTGCATGAAACATTAGACTTTGTGTAAATTGTTCCTTGTATTAAAGTGACTAGCTCCAACTGAAAATCTCTTTTACATAATACTATCAACGTAATTTGTTGAATTCTGTCAATATTTTCATATTTCACCCTGTTCAGCAACCAAACCTGGAGCTATTTCCAGTTAGTTCGATTTCTCTAATGTTCAGAAGTTCTGGAGTGAAATTACCAAAAAGTCTTCTTTGCTGAATAAAGCCAGTCTAGCCCTAAATGCTGATGAGAACTCTATTCATAATTTATTGATAAAATTTCCAATCCTTTCTATAAATGAGGAATTTCATTTCCCTACGATAATTTGAGTAATGTACCTTGGATATTGTCATCGATCGAGAGAGATATTTTAATAACTAATCTAGGTCAAAGTCACTATTCGATTTTCCCTTGCTTCTTTAGTTTGTCGCGTTCAATAGAAATCAACAGGTGGATGAATTTCTCTAGAAGGAAAATACCTACAAATAATTTGAAAATATTTAATGACCTGAATATAAACTTCGCTTCTTTTTTTAGTGATTAGGGTAGGGCGGAGCTAGATGAGTAATTCTTTACTCAAGTGATTACAGCTCCTCAACAATGAGTCTCAATAGCTTGCGTGGCATACTGATGGATTATTTATTTATTCTTCTACAAAAAAGCCTGACGAAGAAAGTCAAGTATGCTCAACTAACCCCATAGGAGAGGTAAGTTGAGAAAGGGGATGAGGCAAATTGAGCAGTTAGAGATTCTAGTCTTACTAAGGTTTCTAGACATGAAATAAAAATTGTATTTGATAATTAACTGCTACTTCATTAATTTTCAAGTGAAAAAATTAAACAAAACATAATATTCTTTTATATATTAAGCATGAAAATAGAATCAATAGAAACGCAACATATTTAAAGATTAATTTTTGGAATATATTCAGCCATTCCACTTAAAATCGGACTTTATCAACTTCAATAAAGAATAAATTAAGAAAAAATATCCATAATGACTAAAACTAATCATAATTGTCATCGGAATTGTAATTGATGCAAATGAAATGAATCCAGTAACTTGGACACATTTTGTATGTGCCCACTCTTTACAATCTTCGCATTGGATCCCACTTCTCTCCTGGTATGCTGTCAGATCAGACTTCGCTACAAACCAGGCAGATACATTCATCTTTGTCACTTTCATCACTTGACTGAATTATTTTTTTACTATCCCTCTTCTTTCTTTTTTTTCAAATTTTCTTTTTTTGCTTCTTAACTTTATTACCAGATTTATTTTGTTCTTCTTGCAACGCGTTTTTCTCAGGTGTATCTGTGCATGAGAATTGCAGCTTTTCTCTTTCTTCGAATACTTGTACTTATCTTTCTTGGAGCTGCCTTTGGGTATGACTGAACATTTTCTGGGGCTGTTCATTTTCTTTATTGCTCGTACTGGGCTCAGGTTCACATTGACTGGCAGAGGTAGACATAACAGGATCAGGTTTAAATTACCGCTGCCTTCTTCGTCGCTAGTTAAAGATTCCATTATTTACAACGGTCTTAAATGTTCAATCACCTTCCTCAAGCAATAAGAACCATAAATGACCTTAGAGCTCTTAAGAAAGAGTTGAAAAACTTGCTCTCTGGGAGACCTTATTATAGCTTAGCAGAATTCTATGATGATAATTTTAATTGAGAAGACTAACTGTAATATCTACGGTATTTTATTGATTTCATTTCATTCAATTTAGTTTAAATTGATTTATTTACATTTTGTTGACCATGTTCTTATATCCTGAACGTTTGTTATTATTTACATATCTCTTTTCAGTTCGTGTTATAACCTACTTTTAGTGATTTTACTTTTGTGATTTCATGTATATGTTATTTATATTTCGCACAAGGCTTTGTCAATAAGAATTTATTCTTCAGACAATAAAGTATATTAAAAAAAAATAGGTTGTGGTGGAAATTGCTTGTTTTTGACGATCTCTTTCTAGGTCAATAGATGCTGGATCTGGACGGTCGGTTACAAACGATGGTGAAAACTCATTGTCGCTAAACATGTTGGGGTTGTATGGGAAGATGCCAGTCTTTTTAAAACCATTCATAATATAAGACAGTGAATCAGCGATTATTTTTGGGAAATCGTAAATGGTTAGAGTCTACCCTGAGTTGTTTCATAGCCATGAATCTTGTGCATTTTTTGAACGGTCCGAATACTGAGACGTCCATTCATTTAACTGTTGAGTTGAGCACACACCTTTTGAAGTTTTCCTTTTATACGTCCTCATTCTAAAACGAGAGAAAAATATACGTCACTATTATTTTAAATCACGGGGTAAGTTGAGCAACAGTTGCTCAATATATCCCAACCCGAGTATTTGAATTTGAAATGAAGTTATGAAAAAACTGCAATAGTTTAAACAAAATCCATAATAGATATTAAAAATACATGAAATTAATGAAACTTTAACACTTACTTGATTGAAAATGAATAACATTTGACCTGTACAGAAGACATTTACACAGACACGATTTATTTTACTTTTTGTTCGCAAAATAAACAAAGCGCTCGCGTGCCTTACTCGATCGTCAATTCGCCACTAGCGGTCGCGTGATCTGTTCCCCCCCCGCGCCGTATTTCTTTCATTCGACGTGCTAGCGTCCGGTGTAAGTTTCGGAAATTTTTTGATTGCCCAACTTACCCCAATTCCCAACTAGCCCCGCCCTACCCTACTCTTTTATTTCAACCCAAACAAGCTTAGTCATAGTATAAAGTTCCTGGGTGTGAATTTGAACAGCAGTCTCATTTGGAAATGTCACATTGAACAGATAGTTCTTCATTTCTAATTGTCATTCGAAAACCGTATAACGCAGAAAACAATTTATTTGTAAGTGATTTTTGCTACGTGATGCTCGAAAATTTGCTGTATATCTGTCGATAAAAAAGTCTTATTTTTCTCATAAGGAGTTCCAAATTTTGTTGAAAGACACGTTTCAACTACTTCGTCTTCCTTTTTGATTCGTTAAACATTCCCAATGGAATCGGCACATTTTCAAACCTATAAAAAAAGTTGTTATGAAAATCTGCCGAAAACTTCAATATTTATATCAACATAGCACAAAACCTTGATTATATTGACTTATAAAATATGCAACTTTGATAAATTGGTTAAGGCTATCGCGGTCGAAGTCCACTCAGCCCAGTGACAGCCAACTTCTTCATGGAGAAATTTGAGAAGAAAGCAATAGACGATTTCGATTTCAAACCAACCATTTGGCTACGATATGTGGATGACACATTCGTTATCTGGAGACATGGGAGGGACAGACTGAACCTATTTCTAGACCACATAAATGCTCAACACCCTAGCATTAAGTTCACCATGGAGCCTGAATAGGAACAATGAATAGTTTTTCTAAATGTACTCGTCAGAAGTGTACCGAAAATTGACACATACGGACAGATATCTGCATGCACTTTCGAACCACCATCCGAGTCGAAAGCGGAGAATTATCAACACCCTGACAGAACGTGCCCGTAGAATATGTGAACCGGAACACCTACAAGAGGAATTGGAGCATCTTTAAGTGGCTTTAAGATCGAATGGATGCAGTGCAACCGAGATCAACAAGGCCATGAAACTGAAGACTTCTACAAGTCAAAATAAGGAGGAAACTCAAACGGTTACACGTGCATTTCTACCGTACATCCCTAGGGTTACAGACAGAATCGGAAAAACCTTAAGGAAGCATAACATAAACACAGTGTTCAAGCCCACCAGGAAAATACACAAAGCCTGAGATGCGCGAAAGACAAAAGAATATCAGCTGCGGGGGTGTATCGTATATCATGCACCTGAAAAGTTTATATCGGTACCACAAAAAGATCCATGGGTACAAGGCTAAATGAAAATCGGAGAAACTGTAGATTAGGTCAAATGGAAAAATCGGCAGTAGAGAACATGCGGTTAGTGAAGAAGATCATACGATACTGTTTGAAGATGCGAAACTACTTGCAGCCGACCACAGTCGGCTTGTACGGGAAGCCATAGAAATACATAAACATACGTAAAACTACAACACGATAACACTCAACC